GGGGCGCTCGCGCCGCGCTAGGTGACGCGACATGCCGCGCAAATCCGCCGCCGCCGCGCCGCCGCCGCCGTCGCCCGCGGACGACGTCGCGAACGAACCCGACCTCGCGGACTTCCTCAAGCAGCTCGTGAACGTGGACGACGTCGGCGTCGGCGACGCGGGGGGCGATCGCTTTCTTCATCCGCGCGGCGCCGCGAACGCCGACGCGGTGTGGAGCGACCTGGACAACCTCGACGTCGCGGACCCCATCTACATGTCCTTGGGCGCCGGCGGCGGCGCGCTGGGCGCGTTGGCCGCGGCCGACCACGTCCGCGAACGCGTCGTCGACTCCCCCTCCCCGGCCAGCGTCGCGGGCGCGAACGGAAGAGGCGAGCGCGACACCCGGAAAGAAGTCGCGGAGAATCGCAGGGACTCCAACTCCCCCGCCAGCGTCGGCGGCGAACCGACCGGAAGCGGCGGCAGAGGCGGCAGCGGCGGGCCCGGGTCGAGCGCGGCGAGCGCGGTGAAGACGTTCGAGCACCTCGGCGAGACGCTCCGCGTGTTGAGCGATCAGCTCCGAGCGGCGCGGCGGCCGCACGAGTCGGTGCCCGAAGTCGGCGGCGCGGATCGCACCGCGGAGGCGACGCAGCGGAGACTCGCGTCGACGCTGGACGACATCTCGGAACGCCTGGACGTCGGGTCACTCGTGCAGCTGTTCGTGCCGAAGCTGCAGTCGAGGACCGGCGGCGCGCTCGTGATGCTGCAGACGTTTAAGGCGTTCACGCGCGTGAAAACCGTGCATCGAGAAAAGTTTTGGAAGTACCACAGGATGTCCGAGGGATTCTTCTTCAACCTCTCCCCGGGCGGGGACTCGAACTTGTTGGGGCTCCCCGGGCGGTGTTTCCTCCACTCCAGACCGGAGTGGACGCCGTCGGTGTGCTGCTACCAGCCCACGGAGTACCCACGGTTGGGATGCGCGATCGATTGCCAGATGCACTCCACCATCGCGCTCCCGGTGTACTTCGACGACCCTCGCGTCCGCCCCGCGATGCCGTTCGCGGTCATGGAGCTCCTCCTGGATCAGCAAGTCACGGACATGGGACGCGTGTTCGACACGTGCGTCGGGGCGCTGCGCGGGAACGGTCTGTACACCGCGGGGACGGATCGCTTGGGGACGGAGGACACGATGCGCGCGGCGCTGGGCTCGAAGCTCTCGCGCGTCGGCGAGGGCAACGACGTCGCGCTCGAGAACATGTGCCACGCGCTCGGGTTCCCGCTCGCGCAGTGCTGGATCCCGAACGACGACGGGTTGCTGATCGCCGCGGGGGCGCCGTACTGCGTCAAGGACGCGATGGCGTTTCCGTTTCGTCAGATCTCGTCGCAGATCTCGCTGCTCGGCGGTCAGGGCCCGGTGGGTCAGGTTTACGAGCAGGGGACGATGATCTGGGTCGACGACGTCCAAAACGGGAGCCAGGTAGACTGGCCTCTGCAGCACGCGACCGCGCTGCTCGGGCTTCACGGCGCGTGCACGTGCAAGATCGTGTTGCACCAAAAGCACCCCCGCGGCGGCGGCGGCGGCGCGGCGGGGGAGCCGATCGAGGCGGTGTTGGAGGTGATTCTTCCGAGCAACTTGCTCATCGCGGAGCAGCAGCGGCGCAGCGTCGATGCGCTGTGGAACTACCTGCAGAACTCTACGGAGCTTCGGCTCGTGACCGGCGGCGCGTCCGCGGCGACGCGGGCGGCGAGCCAGGCCCAGGCGGCGCGAGGAGGAGGCGCGAAAGCGACCGCGAACGCGAACGCGGCTCGGGGAGGCGCCGAGCTCAACTCGAGATCGAGCGACCTGACCGCGGCCGTCGGGGGCGACGGCGACGGCGCCGGCGGTCGCGCGCACGGCGGGAACTTGCTCGCGGGGATCCCGCTCCCCGGCGACGCGAACGCGGAGGAGAATGTCCCCACTTGGGGCGTCACGCTGGAGATTTTGCAGCAGCACTTTAGCAAGCACCTGAAGCAAGCCGCGAAAGACTTGGGCGTCGGGTCTACGACGTTAAAACGCATCTGTCGACGGTACGGCATCACGCGGTGGCCGCGGCGGTCGCTGAAGTCGAAGCAAGGGAAGCTGCAGCAGGTGCTGAAGTCGCTGTACACCGGGGACGGCGCCGCGGAAGCCTCCCCCCAGGGCGGCGGCGACGCGTCCCTGGCGCGCGCTTCGGGCGGCGGCGGCGAGTCCGCGATGTCGCTGGGAACGCGCGATTCGTTCATGACGGACCCGACGAGCGGCGGAGACGGCGCGAACGACGCGTCCGTGCACGGCCCGAGCGGCGGCGGGGGTTGGGGCGTCGGCGTCGGCGGGTCGCTCCCCCACGGAGGGGGTTTGTCGCCGTTGACGCGTCACGATTCCATCACGTCGTCCCCGCTGAGCGGACGACCGGCGTGCCCGCCCGTCGGTGGTCTCGCCGGCGGACACAATCTCAGCGGCCTGAAGCGTGCGCTCGCGGCGGATCAGAACCCGTGGGGCGGCGGCGGCGTCGGGATGCCGCGCCCCGGAAACGCCGGCGGCCGGCCCGGCGGCGACGGCGACGGCGTCGGCGTCGGAAAGTTCCAGAGAGGGTTCTCGTGGCACGGCGGCGACGTCGCGCGGCGCGCGCTGCATAACGATGCCGAAACGCGCGGGGAGTGGACGTTACACGGCGAGTTGACGTTCGCGCAACTCGGCGGCGGCCCCGGGCGCGCGGGGTACCCGGAACAGGGCGCGGCCGCGCACCCTTCGTCCGCGTGGCCCATCCCCGGAGCGTCTCACGACCGAGGAGGACACCACGGCGGCGCCGGCCCGACCAACGAGGACCTCAAAGACGCCGCGGACGCGGACGCGGACACCGCGGGCGCGCGCGCGCGCGCGACGGCGGCGGGTCCCTCTGGCGGGACGACGACGAGCGACGACGGCGGCGGGTCGTCGTTCGACGCGGACAGCTCGGGGAAGACCTCTCTGCTGTCGCCGTCCGAATGCGCGGCGGCGGCGGGGGGGGCGGGCGTCGTCTTCAAGGCGTCGATCTGTGGCGACGGCGACGGGGGAGGAGGCCTTCTTCGCGCGCGGCTCCTGGGAGACGTCACGCGCGCGGCGCTGGTCGATCGCCTCGCGCTGTGCCTCCGTCCGAGGGACCCCGCGGAGCCCGGCGCGGGCGAAAAGCCGGGGTTCAAGATCAAGTACCAAGACGACGAGGACGAGTGGTGCTTGCTCTCGAAAGACTCGGACCTGGAGGAGGCGATCGCGTTCGCGAAGCAACGCCGCGAGCGCGCCGCCGCCTCCGGGACCGCCGCCGACCTCGCGACCGCGCTCGGCCACGTGCGACTCAAGATCGAAGGCGCGAGTCCGAGTCCGACCGCCGCCGCCTCCGCGCTCGACCGCCGAGCGGATGACGTCCCCGCCCGGGGCGGCGGGACGCCGCTCTCCGCGGCGCGCGCGTGCGGCGCTAGCGATACGACGTTCACCGCGAAGATCTCCCTCGGCGACGGCGACACGATGCGCGTCAAGCTGGTGCCGGGGATGTCCTTCCGCGACCTCGCCTCGGTCGTGACGGAGGCGTCGGGCGGCGCCGCCGCGAGGAGGCCCGCGACGCCGACGTTGACGTACACGGACGACGCGGACGAGTCGTGCGACTTGCGCGGCGACGCGGACCTGGACGAGTGCCGCGCCGCGTGCGCGCGGAGCGGGACGATACGCGTCCGGGCGACGTTCGGCGGGGGGGGGGATCAAAGGTTAAGGGTTTAAGGTTAAGGTTAAGGTGTAGGATTAAAGGTTAAATATAATCGACGTGTCTACGCGGCGCGTTCACCATTCACCCCGCCCCCGTCCGCGCCTACGCCTCCCCCTCCCCTCCTCCCGGCGTCGCGGTCTTCGCGGGGTCCGCGCGCGGTGCCACGAGCGCGCGCAGCCCCCGCGCTACGCCCCCCCCGGCGCGCGCGCGATGACGTGCTCGTACAGCGGCGCCCTCGCGCCCTCCCCCCCCGCGCCGCCGCCACCAGCCGCGCTCCCCCAGAACTGCACGCGGATTCTCTCGCTCGAGACGTGCACGGAGACGAACCCCGGGTCGTCGCGCTCGAACAGCGTCTCGTTGACGCCGAACCCGCGCCCCGTCTTCGAACCGGCGCCGGACGTGTAGTGGTGCAGGGCGCGAACTTCGCCGCCACCGCCGCTCTTGACGAGCTCCGCGCGCGTGTGCTGCAAGTCGTGGTCGTGGCCGTTGAAGTACGCCGCGACGTCGCCGTCGACCAACGTCGTCTCCAACGCGTCGCGGACGTCCGCCGTCTCGTCGCGCCAAAACCCGTTCGACCGCATCGGGTGATGTCCGAACACGAGCTTCCACCGCGCGTTGGACGCCGCGAGGTCGCGCGCGAGGTTCGACGCGACGTCCGCCGCGGACGGCGTCGACGCGTCCGCGAGACCTCCGGGAACGCTCGCCCACGTCGCGTTTCGGTACGCGCGCACGAGAGGCGACGTGTCCACGAAGAACAGGTGGACGTCCCCGACCGGGCGCATCTCGAAGCTTCGTTCGGCGTGCCAGCGCCAGTCGCGATCGCGGAGCGCGCGGTCGAGCTGATGAGGGCCATTCCATACAAAAATAGTTCATCGCTCAGTTGAAAGGGGACGCGATCAGATGTTGAAACCGATGGACGGGTGAAAAACGTTTGTATAGGACGCACCTGGAACGTCGGCGACCGGGACGCGTCTTCGAGTTTCGGGCAGTCGAGTTCCTCGCGCGTGGTTTCGTTCACGCCGCAGTCGCCGTAGTCGTGATTGCCGAGGATCGCGTGCCACGGCACCTGTAACGACGCCGCGTCGTAGACGTTCGCGAACGACTCCGCGAACTCGACGTCGTCCGTCGAGTGCAATCCGCCCTCGTAGAAGTTATCCCCGACGCTGACCACGAAGTCCGGTCTCGAGACGACCGCGCACTCGCCCATCGCGCGCGCGACCGCTCGTTGCTCGACGCCGCCGCGTCGCCCCCAGTCGCCGACGACTAAGAAAGAGACGCGGTCGTCCGACGCGCGCGTCGCCGCCGCGTACGCGTTCGGCGTCGTCCACGGACCCGGACCCGTCCCGCCGTCGATGTTTTCGTCGTCGCCGGAGTCCGCGAGGCGTCGCTCCGCGCCGACGCCGACGCCGACGCCGAGCGCGAAGACGACGCACGCGCCGAGGACGACGAGGAGGAGGCGTCGCCGCGTGAAAACATCGCGCGGCGACGCCGACGCCGACGCCGCGGCGCGTCCGTCGCCGTCGCCGTCGCCGTCGCGCGCGGCGTCCGCGCGGCGCGTCCACGCGTCGTCGCGCCGCGCCTTCGTTAGATTCGTCGTCGTCGTCGGCGGCGGCGGCGGCGGCTTTCCGCCGCCGCCTCCTCGTCGTCGTCGGTCTCGTCGCGTGGCGGCGCTGAGCAGGTCGCCGTCGCCGACGATGGACGCGCGGGCGTGGTCCGCGCGCTCCGCGGCGTCCGCGCGCGACGAGACGGAGTCCATCAACGTCGTCGTCGTCGCCGAAGGTTTTCGTCGCTCGTAGGCGTCTCGCCGCGTCGGCGTCGGCGTCCGCGGCGGCGCGGGCGTTAGGAACGGGTTG